GGAGTTTAAGGCAAAAAATATCACAGTTACCCCATCTATCGTATACCCTTGACTTGGTTCCATGTGATATCTTTTATTTCCCAAGTTCAAAATCTTTTGAGACTCATTTTGGACTCCATCGGACATCATTTCGAGAAACTTGATAACTTGCAGCCGCCGCGATGAGAGTTTAACCTCAGTTTCAAATGAAGTATCTTACACCGCAAAAGTTATCTTTCAAATAAAGATTGCTTAGATGAAGGTCTTACATTGCTACGAAGACAGGCAGCAAAGCTGAAGTGCTTGTATGCAATCTCAAGGTGCCTATTTTGAAAATGCTAACTGTAATTGCATGGCTTTTCAACAAACAAACAACAACAACAAAAAAAAAAAAAAAAAAAAAAAAAAGAATGAATCCCATTATTTACATTAAATTGTTTTAACCATTTTTGTTACTTTGGGGACAGACAATGTTCAGATAAACACTAAAAAATGATACAAACGAAAACAAGATAAATGTCTGATTTATTGAGAGAAGGAAATAATTTAAAGTTTTTGAGATGTATTTTATAGATATTATATGGCATGTTCAATATTAATCTTAAAATTTATTTGATTTGGCAAAAATGAGTTTCCTGTAAAATACGATGAAACATTGCACAAGCCATCTTCCCGTAAACTTCAGTAATGCGACTTTCTAAATATTGCCCGCTTCTTGACTCTTTCATACGAGTATATACCTCTTAGGCCTCATAGGCTGCACCCTTAAATAATCATTTAGTCAAATCCAGAGGTTTTTTTAAGTCTAACTGCATATTTAATGACCAACAAAAATCTATGGTTGATCATATAACTAAATGAAAACAAATCCTTTGATTTTTTGCATGGTCTAGTGTGAGATATCTTTATGGCGTATTTCTGCCGGATGTGGTGCCAACATGACGGCGTTTTTTCGCTAAATGCCTTGAGGTCCTTGTTGGATCATTTGGAATGAAGATTTTAAACATTCCAATATTTGTTCTGCTCATGATTGAGTTTCTTGAAATATTTGTTCCATCTATGTTAACGTTGTAATCGCAAAATTTAAAACTTCAGTCAATTAACCCCTCCCCCCCAAAAAAAGGGTATTGAAGAAAGAATGCATTTCATTTCAGCGTTTCAAAAAAAGTTTAAAAAATTACATCGCATTTCATGATTAGAAATAGTTTCAGTTATACTGCTCGGTGCTAAAGACCTTCTTTTCAATTAAATAACTTCCAAACATATGACTTTGACATCGAGCAATATTTCCTAATGTCTTTAGCGATGAAATGGGATATGTAAGAGCTTAATATGCAATGGTGTGTGATGGCGCATACTTAGTTACTGTTTCTTTCCTACCTGAGAACGTTACACTAGCTTATTAAGCATAGATACAAGAAGATTGAGATCAATCCTGTTAAAGATTGAGAGTATTACACTAGATATGTTATAGACTTCAGTTTGTGTCACTATGTCTAGGCTCCTCGGCATAATGGGAAATATCACATTAGGCCAAAGCGTCAGTCAAGACGAGATTTATTTTTGCGTTACTAAATTTGATCCAGACGTTATTGAAAGGATATCTCTGCATTAAATGTGGTGGCGGTTATGCTAAAGTATGAGGAAATATTTTCAACTTTTTTGTATAGATTCGTTTCATAAAAAATAAATTAATTTTTCTTTTTTGACTATTTCTTTTCTTTTTTTTTTTAAATAGTGCTTGCTTTTAGATTTTTCTGGATTAACAGTGTCAAGTTATACTGATTTGCAACGTAGTAAACGTCATAATGATAATCTGCATACAACAGATCATCTCACGATACTCATGTTGTTTGTAACAAATTCTGCAATTTCAAACAAATTTCATTTAGCTTATTAAATTAGTTATCACTTTTTCACATTTACTTTTTTAATTAATTAATTTTTTTACCATACCCTGGGAAGTACTTCGGTAATAAAAGAAAAGTTTGCATTATTATCATCTTTTCCTCATCAAATTTTTATCTTATGGATAGTCTGATCAAAACGCATTCTAAATAGCCAAACATTTGGTATTTTTAATTGAATGTAAAAACCATACGCATGTTTACATACTTTGTTGGTTTCTAAGATAAGAGTTCTAAATTCTTCAGTTCACCACCAGCGGAATTACAAACATTTTGAATAAATGGTACTATTCACTTTCCTATCAATTAATCCCTGCCCTGCAATTTTTAAACTTGTCAGTCCAAATTTAAAGGTATTTCTAAGGATTTATGAATAAATGCTGTATTATCAAATCATAAGTGTAGGTTGTTTCCGAATAGGCAAATTTCAAAGTTAGAAACATTTCGAATGTAAATATAGATATATACATCGATAGTAAACAAACTGGTGTGGGCAAATGGATATAGTTAATGCTAGGTAATATTTAAAAGTGACAGCCAAGCAAAATTTTAAATTTCTCAGGAAAGTGTAAAGCGAAGCAACGCTGAGCTTATGCATTTCTGAAAAGATAAGACTAAGGATACTACTTGGAGAAAGATTGTTTTTGTAGACTACTAAGGTCTTCTGAGTATCTTGAGATCCCCTGGAGCATAAATCTCTGGCAAGAGATGCTTAATGTCAAATTCAAAGAAATATCTCTCTTTCTCGGCATCAACCAAAATTAGACGTTTATTAGCATGATACATATTGGTATTGAAACACTTCAGCCTCAAAATCTTGGACTTAAATCACATCACTGTGGAGAAAGTTCAATTTAATGCCACTAAAATATCTTAGAAATCTAAGCAATGACATGAGGGCACATGATGAGAGTTCTGTGGCTGTCCGGAGTGGATATATTGCCCGTTAACCTTATCTCTGTGCCAAATGTGCTAAAATTTAAAGTTTTGTGTACCATTTCATAATATGCATATCGAAGGATTTTGACTATCTCTATTAGTTATGTATCACTATACTGATGAATTTTGGGGTGCTTTTTGCATAAAATTTAGTTTAAATCTAGCGTACATGCCTAAAGTATGTCAATGTGAAAGTCGAAAACCTTTGTAAATGTATAGCAATCTTTGTTAAAGGTTTATAAATGTGGAATCTTTTAAATATTTTTCGGTGCTCATATTTACAAAACTCATGCAATTTTGCCTTTTCTGTACTTTTTGCCTTTTCTTATGTAAATGTTTCTGCAATTTTGCCTTTTTTCTGTTAAAGGTTTATAAATGTGGAATTTATTAAAGCTCTGACAATTTTGCCTTTTCTGTAATTTTGATTTTTTACAGTTTTTTTATTCTTAGTAACTTCTACATTCCAATTGTTTGGTTTGCTAAGTTATTAATTTATAAAATTTTAAATAAAATTTTTTTCTTTTCTCTTCATTATACATTTTGTTTTTTAGTCTAATTTGTATATTTTATACCTATTTTCATTCGAGTCATGTCGGAGGGTTGTATCAAGGCTATATCTTGATAATTAAGTTTTAGAATTTCATAAGAATTTTATAAATTCTTTAAAATTTGAGTTAATATACTCTCATTTAATTAACTTAAATTTACACTTGAAGAATTTCTTTGATTATTAATTTATTTTGCAATTCATCTAGCTATGATTCAGGCACATGGTTCTATTGATAATTCTCTCAGCTACTTTTTGACAAATATTACAAAAATGCATGAACTATTATTTATTATTTATAAATCATTATTTAGCCTTTGATGAATATTGGTTAATTTTTGCATTAATTTACTTTTATTTCAGTTTTATTCTCTAAATATTAGCTTCAATGTTTTTAATTAGTGCTTTCTTGTTAGATAATTTACCATAATTGTTTGTTAATTGTATATATATATTATCTCTTTATACATATATCTATTATATATTACTAGACAGTATTGTATATACAGTATATATATGCATATAATCAAGAGATGATAATTAGATCTTACTCTAATTTTGATCTAATTATCTTTGAAATTTCTCAAATTTTGTTTTATATATAAATAAATATATCTATATCTATCTATCTATTTATATATAGATGTGCATATAATAATAAAGAGTATTTCAGCTGCAATTTCTTACGAAGGTGCGTTAAAATAACTTATAAAATTCACGTTACTTTAAGGGTAACGAAACATATAATTTACATAACTCTGAAGATTGTTATTTGTGTTAAAAAATAACTCATTTTCATTTTTAATCTGGAATAAAAATTTATTATTTTTTTTTAACTATACTTTTTTTGTTCTGCAAAACGTTTCTCTAGTCTAAAAGATCTGCTGCAGCTGAAACAAGCGTAAGTTTAGAGGACTGAATATAATAAAAGCTTGGAGTTGATTTTGGACTTTAATAAGATTTTGGAGACCGAGCAACTAAAATAAAATCTCGGAGATTGGAGTAAGAGCTATCTGTAAATACTTGAGGAAACCGAAAGGTATAGCATATTAATATTAAATATACACGAAATAGAAAATAATTTATTTCATTTATAACATCTAGTAAAATAAATTTATTGAAATTAAATTTTAACGCATGAGTCATTTGAGAAATATATTCGCTACTGAAATGCTTAGTATCTCATTTGTTTTGTAAAGTGACGATGAATTCACTAAAGTCACACTTTGATCATATTTTAGGACCACAAGCACTAGCTTCTATTTATTCATAACTTAAAATAAAAGACAGAGATGTTGAAATATCTTTCATCTCAATAATTGTTAGAGTATTAAGGTAAAGATTTATATAAAATGAAACTACAGATTAAAAATTTCTTGTCAAAATATTTACGTTACAAAGTTTTGTTAGAGACAAAGTATTAATAAAATAAGAAAGTACTAGCATTTTGCTTTTAATGATAGTAATCGACGAAGCTTATCTAAAGATCCTGTGATATGTTGGGAAGGAACTTCAAAATTATGGGTCTGCTACCCTTAATTTGCCTTTCTTACCACCAGGGACCGCCCTCCCTACAACGGGCATCCTCTCGCAGACTGCTCACGCAAATCCTGCTGAAACTGGTCAGTAACATCCTTGACTGCCCCGAGACAAAAATGAGCAACACGATAGAATTTTGTTTTTCGAAAGTTCTTTTCTTCTTCTTTCTTCAAGGTCTGGACCCTTTTTATCGATAACTGGCACCTGAAAAATATACGAGGGGAAGGCGAAGAGGACGGACACGAAGCCCGTGCCGTCTGTTCATGGTCCAATGCCCCCGACTATAAAAACTGTTGCATTTCTTGCGATGGCTCATATTTTCCTCAAAGAGATTGTTCCGGCACCTAAGAGTCACGTGACAAGAAATTCTTTACAACAATGCATGATCAGAGAATTACGTAGCCGGACAGTGCTATTCAAAAGTAACATTCATAGGCAATAGGCAGCAAGCTTAAGAAGTTATTTTTATTATTCATTCCAGTGTTTGTTTATTCACAATTCCGTTCATTCCAACTTAAAAACTACTGATAGGACTTGGAAAAAATCAAAATTGTTTAATCAGAATTTTTTGTGGATTTTGTGATTCGAAGAGTGAAATTGCGTGGATGCACCGAATTTCTGAGTGTAAATATTATGCGTGATCAACGCCGAAAAAGCTCTTAAAAGACATTATGAAGATAGACTCCGAGCCCCAAGTATCTTGATAGCAAAACTTTGTAGATTTCGCAGAAAAAGAACTACGAAACTATTTGCTCAAGATATACATCCGTTATTTATTTAAAAAAGATGAGTAGTATTCGAGTGTTAAGTATATTGACTTATACTGTTTTGTTCTTTCATCCGCAAATGTGTCAAGAATCTACGACTTTGTCAACTACAGAACCACTTGCTGACGTAACGTCAACGGTAAGGAATATTAACTATATTCATTTCTCAACTTCTGCAACAAATGTTATTTAATTATGCATTTATTACTTCCATTTTTATCTTAACACGAGTTTATTCAAATGCATCTGCTTAAAATTATCATTATCTTGCATTTGAATACAAATATTTTCTAAATACTTCATTTAAATTTATTAATATAAAATAAAGAGCAATTTTTAGATGCAATGTTTTACGTTTATAGCATTTAATTTTGTATATTTACAATTTTCATACTTGTTTTCAATTTAATTTCTTACATAATTAATTTTATGTGTTTGTTTTGCTATTAAAAACAATAAAATATTGCGAAAATAGATACAGAGAAAATATGATTAACTGCTTATCTATTTTTACTCACAAAATCAAAAATTAAGTGTCAGTAAACGTTGACTGCAAAATAAGTTTTTTTGAGAAAATTAATTTTACATCATAATAGGTGTAATGTATATTATATCAAAGAACTCTAAATTATAAAATTTCAAATTAAAACTTTAAACGTAGTTAAGTCTATATGGTCTTTAAATTACAGAACAGTAACATGTGTATAAAATAATTTTTTGACGTTTACATACCATCGAATTGCATAATTAACTATTTGACATTTAGGTATCAAATTTAACTCGTAAAAATATGAATTAACATGTTCTTCTAATTAAGGTTTAATTTTTAGCTTATATATTCCAACAAATTTCATAATCTGTATCTATAATTAATACACTAACTGCATTTAATGCAAGTATTTTTCCAAAAGAAAAATATGAATTAATTTTTTAATCGATTATGGGAAAGCATTCAGTAGCTATCTGTCTAAAGGTAGGATGCTTTCCTGGAAAGTTTTATAAAGAAAATTGGTTCATATGGTATGTTACACATGGGTAAAGCACGAAAACGATGTTGCAACCAGTCCTGCCGGGATTCGAACTCGTGTCAAAATACTAGTGCTCATTATCTTAGCCCCTCGGGTATTTGCTGATCGACACGAGAAGGATTTTTTTAACTAATTATAATGTAACAACTGAATTATCAAGCTTAAATCCTATTTTCTTCATTTCATCAATTACATTTCTTTAGATGCTTAATCTTATACAATTTTTATTACGCACTGAGGGTGTACTTCAAAAGTACTTATAATGAAAAACTCTTTTTGGGAATAATATTTGTGTAATATTAGTGGAAGCATTACTTTATGTTGTCCACTTTAATAACATTTGTATTTCCTTTTCTTCTTCATTAATATATTTAGAACCTTCACAAATCAGAAGGATCTATCTAAGGCAGCCATTTTCTGAAAATATGAACAATGATATTCAGTGTCTTTTAATTCATGTCACATTCATTGCATGAACACAAGTCACTTGACCAGTTTCTAAGAAACACCTTTAATTATTTGATATTTTTTAAATTAAAAAACAAGCATTGTGTTCAGAAGTTAAGCAGCTAAGACACCATTATTTTGACAGTAAAATAACTTCAGAGAGATAATTCCAGTGCATTTTCATGTAACTCGACTATTAAGCACCAATGGGCGATATTCACATCTCTTTTTTCCCCTTACCGTTATTTTTTCTAAGCATACGTATTGTAAATACTAACCAGTTCCCATTAGAAAGTCTTTCTCGAATGCATCGCTCCCTTTAAGCAATTGGCCCTCAGGTGTTTTATCATATTCAAATAACCCAACCGTTTTAAGCAGATAAAGCTATGATTTATTTGCCCTCATAGGGTCTTTATATAATATTTAATTTATTACATCCTACTTTATTGCGTTATCAAATATTATCATTTTTCTTAACATTTAAATTTAATCGAGTTCATCTATAATTTTTGATGGAAATCTGGACACATTCCTGATAGTGTCTCAATTGAATGTTTTTGATGTGTCAGAGTGTTACTGGCAGAATGGGTATTAACAATGTATTGCACATCTCCTCGGCATAAAATTTTAATTTTTGTTTCAAAGTGGATTAATTCCTTGTATACGACATTAAAAAATACTTTTTTTTAATTTGCTAAAACTAGTAATGAAGTATTTAAAATTTGTTATGTAATATTATACCCATAATATGTCTTATTATTTTTATAAATAGTTATACATTTATTATTATGAACTAAAAAATTTTGTAATGTTGCAAACTATATAATTTCTCTTCAGACTTACCCTAAATTAGTAGCTGTTTGCGTGCATCTTAGGAACAAATTTGTTACATTTCTTAAATTGATGTTGCTGTGTAAGGAAACAAAATATATGCGTTTAATTTTACTTAAATTTAAAAATATTTTCCATGATTTTCAAAACTCATTTTATTAAATTTAAGTGATTTTTATTGTTACAGCTACTAACGAACTGAAATACTGAGAAAGCCACTGGCTGTGAAACAAAAGAGTTTCATGCAGTTTTAGAAAAACGTTCCTCGTTCTTCCTCTTCTTCTTCCTTTTTCCTCTTCTATATTGCATAACTTATCCTTTTTAGAATGGAATATTAAGATTGGGAAAAAACTTTTCATGATGGGAAAACTAAAAACTTCTGCTAGCAATAAATGTAAGAATAGTAAGAGAATGTTTTACAAATGTGAATAGCAATGAAAAGCTCTTGTTTGTATTAGAAATTTAGAGGGAATTCCATGTTTACTAAAATTTCATGAAGTCATTTTCAAAATTTAGAAAGTAGATTAACTTGTTTCAAAAATAATAAAAATAAATAAAATAAAATAATAAAAAGTCGAACTGAAATTCTTATACTGTACTGGGGTTAGATTACTTAATTTAGGCATAGCATACAAGTTCTATCTGCCTCAAATCCATCCCAACTATGGAATTAGAAAGGAAGAAACTAAATAATATCATCCTTTTCATCCTTTTTTCCTGACCACTCGACACATTTTAAGTAAAATCCACGGGCCTCATTACACAAATTCGAACCCAGATCTATGGAAATTATTGCAAATTTTCTAAAATGACTTCCATATTAAACCTTATTTATTTTTTAATATTACCGAAATTTACAAAGAATTTATAGTGATTTTAAAACGCACCTGAAGAATATTTTCCTTTCCTGATTTTCTCCATACCTATTTCACCTGTGAGCATCTGGCGAACTCTTTTAATCTAACTCATCTGTGCTTAAGTCGTTGAAATTCACCGATAAGGATGAAAAAATAAAGCAAAAATTTACAGCTAAATGTTATTTCAAGCACATAGTAAAAAAATATAAGATGGAATCAGAAAACTCATTAGAAATGTGAGTGATGCGTATTTTTAATCTAACTTTCAAAATGTTAATTTAGAAATTACTGTTTTTACACACATGTTCGACACAAATAATTTACTAAGAAAACTTTTACTTTTTAGTCAATCCAAAATATAAAATATAAAAAAATGAACAATCTGTATAAAGTTGTTTTCTATATATCTCTCTCTGTATATATATGGTATATTAATAACTAATTAACTATGTAGTACATTCGTAAGTCCCTGGTCTTCTATTTCAAAACGATGGAACTAATTTATATTACTCAATTTGGAAAAACGAGGCTTGACTAACCAACCAAATACTTTTTGTTGGAGAGGGGAAATTTATGTAATATTTCTAAAAAATTATTACATAAATATTTTAACCGAAAATGAAACTCAGAAATTCAGTCACAAAGTACAAACTTCCTTTTGGTACGAATTTTCACTTTCATTTAACTAGTTATTGGAAGCATGGCGAAAATATTTTTCAATGATTAAGATTTTAACTAAGGTTATACACATTTTATCCCTTATCTTTTCTTTCATCTAAAAATATTCACTTTAAAATGATGTCTAAGTCTTGGATAGCAAATATTTGCCAATATATTTGCATCAGATACACAAGTTTGCAAAAACGAAACAATGTATTAAAACAAAGAAGCACACCGAGTTAAAGTATTATGCATTTCCCTTGATTCCTCAAAGGTGTGACATTAATCTAGTCTCAGATCTCATTTTATTTTATAAGAAACTACTGTTAGCAATGTTATCTACTGATCACCATTCCATCATCTTCCCTTATCTTTTGTCATACTAGTGACTTCGCGATATAATTGTGACAAAACAGAAAATTTAAATGTTTTCTGATCAATTAAACCATTAAATCAGACAAACGTTGGATTTCTTGGTGTTAGTTTTTTAAAAAATACTTAGGAATTTCCATCCTTCTCCTTCAAAGAGGTTCAAACTATGCCTAAGTCGAAATTTGCGTAGGGCCAAATAACTGAAAGGAAAAAATCCTCTCCGAAATGTACAGATCATTTATCTAAAATAAATCTAAATCTAACCAAAAAATTGGTCGCTAAAGCAGACGTAGTTTACTACGTCTGCTTTTAGCGATTTAATTAGTTGATTGCTAAATAACAGGCATGGTAATCGTTTCTACAGAAGAGAGGCCACATTTATTCTGAAACAAAATATCTCTAAAAAAGTATTTTTTACAGAAATATATATGAAAAAAGTATAAAACTGAATTTTGATTAAGCTTCACATTCGGATTATTTTCTAAAATTAATGACTAATTAAATATTTAGTTTCACTAATTCTTGTAGGATGCGTTTTGGGTTTACACATATCATTATCATAAATCGGCATAATTTAACGTAATGCAATGATCTCATTTAGTTAATCATTCATACGACTCTCGTGTGTTGCCTCATATTGAACCCATACATTTATATAACTAAGTGAGTGGTCAACAGCAAAATTCTCTCTTACATTTCACGTTTGATAAAACCGAAAATCTGCGTTTATACTGAACCTAACCGGGAACAAGAATTAAGTAACTTTACTTTTCTGATACAAAGATTCACGACCTCTTTTTTAATAATAATATATATATATATATATATAAAACATTGTAAAAGAGTATAAAAATTCTACAATGATCATTTAATGTAAGCTTAAATCAGCAACAAAAATAAGTAAATATTACAATAAGTTACAGATTGTTAATTTTTTTATTTTT